GAAGCGCTCGTGGCCCCCGACCCCGCCGCAGCCAACGACGATCCATCCGAGCCGCCCTCGTCGGCAGCGACCACGACGGACAATGCGATTCATGGAATTGCATCGCTCTCGTCGTCGCCGCTCATGGCCGAGAGCGGCTACTCGCAAGACAAGATGGACGCGATCTTGGAGCCGATCCTCGACAGCATCGAGCAGCTGCGGGTGCGACGACGACCTCCATGCACGGCGTCATATTCATCCTGTCGTATTCGTGTAGGCGGAGAGCGCGATCGTGCGAGAGAACTCGCAAGAGGCCAAAAGCAGCGTCATGCGGCTGCAAGCCGAGATGAAGCGCCGCGACGCACTCATCCAAGCGCGCAACTCCAAGCACGAAGGCAACGTCAAGATCCTCATGGACAAGCTCACGCACGACCTCCGCGCGTGTGTGACGCAGAATGAACTCATCGGCTTTGAGCAAAAGTCGCTCATCTTGCTCAAGCAAGAGAGCCACAAGCTCTCGGATGAGTTTAGTGGCCTCTTTAACCGCACGCAGGAGGAAATTCACATGGTACACTAAGATGAGATGGAGGAGGACGACGACGATAATGTACCTTCTCGGGGTTGTCGTCGTAGGTGCGCAGTATGCAAGAGGACATCAACTCGAGCCAAGCCGAGGCGCTCCAGAAGACCCAGAACCGCGTCGAGATTATGAGCGACAAGATCGAAGAGATCCTCAAGACGCAGGTACACTCTGCATGAGACCCATGCAGCACCAACGAACGGCTCGTGCAGGAAAAATTTGCGAAAATGCTCGACGAGCTCCGGCGCAACTCGCAGGCCGAGCACCAGCACATCCAAACGATCATCACACAGCAAGGCGTTATGAAGGAGAAGCGTATGCTGCCATCGCAAGACCCACTCGACTCACAACATGCCTAGTCCAAGCGGTGAGCGACAAGCAGTGCAAAGGCGACCAGTTCACGGCCGACCTCGCCCAAGCCTTTGAAGATGCGTCCCAAAACAAGCAAAAGGCCGAGGACAAGATCAAAGAAATCATCGAGTTGCGCGCCGAGGCCTTGCACAACGGTACGCTGTTCGACATCCACTACGACCGTCGTCATATTGGGCGAGGTAGAGATCAAGCGACTCGACGACATTTTTGTCTCGTGCTCGGTCGAGACGCTCTCCGTGGACGTCAAGCGGCACGCCGACCGCATCGACATGGTCGAGCACACGGCCATGGACAACCGAAAGAAGATTTCTGACCTCGCGCAGCACGTGAGCGACACGGAGGTCATCTACAACACAAACTTCACCACGATCTACGAAGGTTCTGCACCCGTTTTATGCGACGACATGAGACGACGTCATGGCTAGGCATTGAGCGTGTGAGCCGCGACGCCAGCGAAAATTTAAGGAAGGACGCGACGCGGCTCGGTGCCAAGATCAAGGAAAGCCAGGACGCCCACTCGAGCTTGATCAAGATCGTCGTTGACAACAAGTTGGACACGGAGAAGAATTTTGCGACCATGCGCACCAAGGTCGAGAACCACCAGCTGGAGACCGAGGGCATGAAAGGTGTATCCATCTCTCCAACGATCGCCAAGAGCCTTGCTGAACATGTGACTAGTGCACACGGAGGCCGCGCTCTCGTCCATCAAGGAGAAGCTCTCGTACCTCGAGCAAGGCAATCTTTCGTTCCGCACCGAGTACGACGCGGCGCAGACCAACATCCAGCGGTGCGACCCCATATCGCATTTTTTTCCACTTGCAATACTCCAATAATGATTTGCGTAGGACGTTTGTGCAGATTGCGACCGAGACGGCTAGCACCCAAGTGATTCTCGACTCGGTGCACGCGACGCTCGAGACCTTTGCGGGCAAGCAAGACGTCTTCAACGAGCAGATCCAGGCCATGCAAGGTATGTATTCTTGGCGCAAGACCATTATTGCATCATGGCTGGATGTAGTGGAATATCGGACCGA